CTCCCTCCTCCTCCTCCTCCTCCTCCTCCTCCTCCTCCTCCTCCTCCTCCTCCTCCTCCTCCTAGCTAAGTAGAACTTGGGGAGCATTCCGCCCAGAGGGCACGGCGACTGGAGAATGGGGCGGCCCACGGGCCTTCACTCTTGCTCGGGCGCGCTTGCGTGTGGTGTCGGCCATCGCGAGAGAACAGCATGCCCTCCACGCCGCGCAAACAGCGGCATGGGGCCCTCTTCGAGCTACGGCGAAGGCATTTCGCCGACAAAGCCATTACAAGGAACAGCAATTCGAAGACTCGTGCAGGCAAAAGCCCACGGGAGCACCGCGGGCTGCTCAGGGCTGCTGGGCAGCGGGGGCCTCGTCCGCACGCCGCGCCATGGCTGCTCGCCCGCGTTGCTCGGCCTTCGCCCGATCGGCGAAACCCGCCGCCGCTAGCAGGGCGGCAATGCTGGGCCGCCCAACGCCGAAGGCCACCTGCTCCGCTGATGTTCCCGCCGCGGCGCCAGCGACCCCGACGGGCCTCATGCCCACCGTGCCCGGCTGCGGCACTGGCGGCTGCATGGGGTCAGCTGGATGAGGAATCCAGGGTCCAGAAGACGGCGGAATTCCAATCGTGGACCGGCCAGGGTTATCACCGCCGCCCACATCCGAGAAGGAATCCCCCTACGGTCTGAAGCCTCCTGGGCACACTCCTCAACGAACGCCCCAACCGTACACGTCGTTCATTTCTAGTCGTGCTCATTTCTCATTCTGCTCGATTCTAATTGTTCCTGGCCCCCTAGTGGCCAGGAAAAGGGCCTAGGAAAGAAGATTCAGAACTGGAAGGATCTTGGCCCCCCAAGAAATCAAAGAACTTCCGAAGAAGTAGACATGAACAGCATGTATGCGCACCCTTGCCCTGGCCGCAGGCTGTTTGTGGCCAGCTCTCCTCGGGAACCAGCCCTGCTCGGACTGCCGGCGCTCGAGGAAGCCGTGGTACATGGACACGTCCTGGGACAGGACGCTGGTCACGCGGACGAGGTCGCCCACGTTCAGCGCGAGGAGGTGCGGGCCGGTGCCCTTCGGGGGCGCGAACTTCACCTGGGCGGCGAGCAGGAATTCGGGCTGGCGCGAGTGAACAGAGTGAGCTCACGGGGTCGCTCGCGGGGGTCACCTGCGGCAGGCGGCAGGCCCGCGTAACCCCCGCCGCTCCGATGTGGGGGCGCGGGACGGCCAGCGCGCTCTTCTGGCCCCCACGTGTGCTCGAGGGAGGGCGAGGCTGCGCGCCTGCACGTTCCCTGTCGAGCCTGCGCGCCTGAACGCTTGCAGGCCTGCGAGCACGCCCGCATCTTTCAATGCCCGTGCGGCTGCACGCGTGTGCGCCTCCATGCGTGCGTGCCAGAACTGCGCGACAGCTAACTTGCTTGCCTCTCTGCATGAGTGCGTCCGTCTCGTGCTTGCGTGCTTACACCTGCACCTGCACACACATATATATATATATACACACATAGAGAGAGAGAGAGAGAGAGTGGAGGTGGGTCGGCAGGAGTAGGGACAGGAGCTGGAACGTCGGACTCTAAAGTCTAGACTTCCGAGGCCCAATTCCAGAAGGCGCTCTCCGGGCAGGCTGCACCAGGGCCTCCCTGCGATGATGGGCATGCCGAGACAGAGGGGTGGGGGCGAAAGCGGAGACGGAGAGGAGACGGGGGCGGCATGGACCAGGCCGAACGCCGTGTGCCCCGAAGACCAGGAACCGAAAGCTTCCTCGGCAACCTCGCCGCAACTTGCACTGGCCCCGCGATCCGTGAGGTCGTCTGCCTCCGCTGTGTACTTTCCATTGCTCAAATGAGCGACGCAAAACAGTGGAAAATCTAGTGGCACTGGTACCGCTACTCCCCGGACCTCTCCCTGTGAGCGTTCTGACCAGAAGTTCGAGGCAAGCCCAGCCGTGGCGACGATGGCTTCCCAGGAGGCCCAAAACGGCGACAACGAGGGACGGGTGGCGGTGTCGGAATCTTTCCCCCGTCTGAAGGGAAGGGCTCCCTGCTGAGGTCCTGCTGGGGCCACGTGCTCCAGCGAAGAAGGCGAATGTGCCCTGGGCTTCGGCGATGCAAGTGGTCGTCACCGTGCAGAGCGACACCACCAGCCAGCGAACTCGGGCAGCGAAAAGTGGCCCAGGGCGATTCCATCATCCTCGCGGATGGCTTACGCGCGAGGGCCCGCAAGCCGACACGTTCCTTCTCCCACCCTCCGCGCTCACCTTGCAGACCACGAGCGGGAAGTCGTCCTCAAGCAGCTCCTGCTGCATGCCTTCGTCGCCGTCGAGGCCCCCGTGGCCGTCCAGGTCGCCCTCCCTCGCCTCTAAGCGTCGCGCAAAATCGTAAGATGCGGGGGCAGCAAAAGACAACATCCAAATCGAATTCGCACCCTGGATGATGCTTTGCGCATGCTAGCAGTCGCCAGAACACCGAGACCAGGTCAGTACTGGTTGTGGTCGATGCGGGCCTCCCAGACAGCGAATCCGACCACAACCACGACAACAGGCGTTCATGTCAAGGTCGGTGGGTTCTCCCCAGCCCTCCAGAACAACCTTCTTGGTCGTGGTTGTGGTTCTTTGGTTGTGCCTGGCTAGGATCGGCTACGTCGACCAGCCATAACTGAGGGAGCTGTGGTCCTTACCCCCCTGGGGGAACCCATCGCCTCGACGATCTCTCGAGAGGGGTGTCGAAATCGATGGGTCCCCAAGGGGGGTAAGGACCACAGCTCCCCCAATTGTGGCTGGCTTGTTACGCGCAAAGAGTGGCCCTCGGCAAGGAGTGCCCTCCGGCGCGAGGCCTGCCGGTCGCTGCACGCAGTGCGACGGTGGTGGCCTGCGTGCTTGGGCTCAGGTCGGGCGTGTCCTCATGCGGGCGGGTTTTGGTCGACAAGTAGAGAAAAAGTCCAACAGCAATCACATACATGATTATTTTGAACTTTTTTTTCAAGTCCAACAACAATCAAATGCATGATTCTTTTGGAAATTACAAACATGATTTGTTTTGCCTGCTCTCGAATGTTCCTCCTATGGAGGGGCGTGCCCGACTTCATGCTTGGGCTTGACCCCCCCCTCACCCCCCCGACAGCCGCGCACCGCCGAAGGCCACTCTTGCGGGGTGGGCACTCTCATGTACGCGTCCCTGAGAAGCTTCTCTTAGGTCGGGCGTGTCCCCCTGCAGGCGGAGTTTGGCCGACAAACATCTAAACTAGCCCCTCATAAGATTCAAATGGGTTCAAAACTCGTCAGAGCAAATCGTCCCCAGGCTGTTTTTTGACTCCTTGTGAATATTCTTCCTGTAGCGGGACGGCCCCGACTACAACCCGCCATCGCTCGGCCGTCGATGTCCCGTGTATTCTTCGGTTTCGTGCGTGTTTTGTTGTTGTTGTTGTTGTTTTTTTTTTTTTTTGCTCGATGGTCCAGGATGGTCCTCGATGGTTCTCGCCGAGAAAAACATGCACACGTCCCAGCGATGCCGAGGTGAACACTCTTCCTGTCGTGGGACGGCCCCGACTGCAACGCGTCGTCAGAGGAGCCCTCTCTCGGCAGGCCGCCGCCCGCGCGCCGCTCCGACCCCAGAGCCGGCCGAGGCGGACCCCGGGGCCCCTGCCGGGGATGTATCCTGCACCATTGAAGGGGGCCCTGGGGCACATAAATACACACAAATAGAACGATTCCCCATCTTTTCCCATATCTTTTTGGTTTTTGTCCTCCCCCCCCCACACTTCCCATATTTTGGCATCCCTTCCTGGGAATCGACGATTCATTGTGTCTGTGTTTCTTTCCCTCCTGAACCATGTCTTGAGCTGCCAAGGCTAGGTCGGGCGTGTCCTCCTACAGAAAGACTTGTGAGGACAAATCTGAAAGAGTCTACACATATTCCAAGATAGCACGAAATAGTCCACAAGTTGCGCCTATACTAAAAAAACATGTTTTGCACGTTCCTCCTGTAGAAGGTTAGGCCCAAGTTAATGCCGAGGCCGGCCACGGCGACAGCACGACCGAAGACCAGCCGAGACGACGGCGGAACCGACGCCCTCCCAAGCCGACAGGCCGCGAACAGCCTACAACGGCAGGCGCAGCGACGCGACGAAGACACGACAACCACCCCAAGCGGACCGACCGAGAACGCAGCCGTCGGCGACGCAGCCGAGCCGACCGAACCGCGGACACCCTTGGCGTCTGGCCGGGGCCACGGGCTTGGGCTCACCCATGATAGTTGCGTGACAGCTGGCTCCCAACCAGAAAGCATGACTGCCCATGTGGGGCAAACACTGACAAGTAGCTGTCGCTGCACCTTTTCATTGTGGGCCACGTCTGCACGCACAGCGGTGGGGGCTGAGAAGGGGCATGCCACTCCTCGACAAAACCCCCGATTTGTCGCCGCCGCGATCGCCGCGGCGACCTCCGAGATCGACCCGGAGGCTTGGATCGGGATCGGGTGTCACAGCCCGAGCGGGACACGACGTGCTAGAGAGCACGTCCCTCCCTCCGCTTTCGCGCGCCGCGGCGCCTCCGCACCGGACATCGCCGCCTCTTGAAGAGTACATAACGACATAAGCATAATTCCTCAAAGGCCCACGCGGGCTTCTTGGATTGGCGCTGGACACCCCCCCGATGGCGCACGGAGCGCGCCAGGGGCGGCGCAGGAGGGGCCGCCAGGGAGCCCAGCGCCGATCCAACAAATCCGCTACCAGACGTAGGACGGGGGAGAAGGGATGATGAGGAGGTCCTCCTCCTCCTCCTCCTCCTCTCCTCCTCCTCCTCCTCCTCTTCCTCCCCCTCCTCCTCCTCCTCCTCCTCCTCCTCCTCCTCCTCCTCCTCCTCCTCCTCCTCCTCCTCCTCCTCCCTCTCCTACCCATGGTAGAGCGGTGGTGGGGAACATGCCCGTCGGCGTGTTGCTCTTCGAGCCTCCCGCGCCGCCCGCTCCTTCTCGTCCGCCTCCCGGCGAGCGAATGCCTCCTTCCACTCCTTCTCGATGCGCTGCGCCGACCGCAGCACCGAGGGGGGCGGCGGGCTGTCCCAGGCCTGGCGCATGGGCGGGAGGTGGCCCTTCTGCTGCTGCTCCCGCAGCATGTCCTGGGGTCATGATGGGCCTGTGTTCCACCACCACAAGAAGTTTGAGGGGGGAAGGAAATGGAGGATGCGGAGGAGGATGAGAAGGAGGAGGAGGACGAAGAGGAGGAGGAGGAGGAGGAGGAGGAGGAGGAGCAGGAGGATGAGGAGGAGGAGGAGGAGGACCCGCTCGCCCGCCTACTTATTGTGGTGGCGGCGGAAAACAAGTCTACCAGGTCGGGGAGCAACTCCTGGGAGACTCTCGTCCCCAGACCCCCCTCGAGTCATGACAAAAAGCACGACGGGAAATTCTTCCCTGTTTTCGGCCCCTGGGGGGCCCTTCACCGGGCCTCGGGGGCGTCAAAAAACGGCTCGGGATGACAAACCATTCCCGGGGAATGGGCCTGGACCTCCTGGGGGTCGCGTCGTGAAACAATCGTGACGCTGCTGCTGCTGCTCCCGCAGCACGCCCTGGCTATGAGGACAATCCTGGAGGCCTCGCGCGGCCACTTGAGACCCGATCTGCGTCGGATCCACGCCGGATTTGCGTCGGGTTCACGCCGGACTACGTCGGATTTACGTCGGATTGACGACGGACTGACTCCGGAGCATCCCCGCGCGAGGGCCGACCCATAGCTTACGGAACTGACGAGTGGGCCAGAAAATAAAAATATGACGCGCCGCGCGAGGCCTCCAGGATTTTCCTCGTATTCCTGGGATCAGGGAGCAAATCCTGCGAGGCTCTTGTCAGAAAGATTCTGGGCGCCTGCATGAAGGCCAGGATCGAACCGGATTCAGCGGGCTGCAGCGAGATGGACCAGGATTGTGTTGCTCTTTTTTTCGCCACGGATATACGAGCGCCAAATGCTGAAATAACCTCCCAGGTGGTGCATCCTCACTGGAGAGTCATGATGTGGCGCGTTCCACAAACACTGATCCAAAAAGCCTTGCCATCTCCCGTGCGCACATTTTGAACCTCCGCCGGCGGAAGCGGCCTCGCTTTACTTCCTCGGGTTTCCGCCGCCCTGCCGCCGCCTTCCGCCGAGGAAGAGAGATCAACTCATATCAACTCCTGCGATCCTCGAAGGCGAGGCCTGTCGCGCAAGTAAATTATGGGGGCGTGCCTGGCCAGACGCCAAAAAGCAGCCGAGGTCTGGTCCAGGGGGGGGGCAGGGGGGAGGCCAAGGGGCCCGCGCCCATCGGCGAAACAATGAACAAAACAGCGGCCACTTTTCTGGGGAAACCAAAAGGTACTGATACCGCTACGCCCTGGTCCTCTCCCGGTTTGCGTTCCGACCAGGATTTCGAGGGAATCCAGCGGTGGCGACGGGGGCCTCCAAGGAGGCCCGGAAAGGGGACAACGGGCGGGGGGGTGGAGGTATGGGTCAGAGTGAGGGGGCCAAACGGTCATTCATTGTCCCTGAGTGCGTGGCTGAATAAGGAATTCGTGGTGAGAATTCTGTTTGTTGCGTCGTTGTTGTTGTTGTTGTTGTTGTTGTTGTTGTTGTTCTTGTTCTTGTTCTTGTTGTTGTTGTTGTTGTTGTTGTTGTTCTTGTTCTTGTTGTTGTTGGTTTGTTGTCGTCGTCCCACCCGCGACCCACCCCGCGACCCACCCGTGACCCACCCCGCGACCCACCCGCGACCCACACCGCGACCCATCCGCGACCCACCCCACGAGTGTTACAAGAGGGGGGATCGCGCGTTTTGAGTTACCGATGACTCCCTGTTTGAGCTTCCGCATAATTTCCTCTGAATTTCCATGTAATTCCCGAATGTCCTTTCAATTTCCCGATAATCCCCTAGAATTGTCATATAATTCCCGCCTGCTCCAACTAATGATTATGGGCGTCAGTCATACTCGGTCTTACATGGTTAGCCTATATTCCTATATTACACGTAGGGGGTGGGGCTACAGGAAAACCACACCCATGGACCTCAAAGGCCTACAGGAGCCCTGGGGAGCCACGGGAGGAGGCACGGGAGGAGGCTCTCGGCGAGGCGCAACTGCAGGAGAGCAACCCGAGCTCCCCCACCCCTCGCCCCACATGATTTTCATTGCTGGGGATTACCGTCCAAGGGTTCGGGGATCACCGTCCAGAATTAACGGATCTCCCGGGGACCTCCCGGGGCCCCACCTCGCGGGAACTCTTCCCGATAATTTCCCGATAATTATACAGATGAAAACAATGACAACGAATTACCTGGAAGGCCCCCACCTC